ACCCTTTATATGAGTCCTGGTATGGCGCTGTGGGTTAATGTGTTGGACTGCAAAGTCAGTTTGAACTCCAAGGGTGGTTATTCAAGCTCACCAACCACTCTTCAAAAACTCTATATAGAAGGTTGATATGACTCAGAACCAACTCGAGGCACTTTAACAACAACAACATAGGGTTTCTGAGACTCTAAACCTTTAAGGGAGCAGAAAGCCTCATCTTTCTCTTGCAGAATGACTGGTGGGTTTGAACTGCTGACCTCATGGTTAGCAGTCCAGTGCTTATCCTACACCACCAGCAGGGCTCTTTAAAAGATTAGACCCAGAAGATTAAAATACATCTCATCTAAATCCCTCTTTCCCAAGGTAAGAAACTGAGACTCAGGCCCACGGAAAACTACTTACTTTCATTTGATTAACAAATGGCGAAACTAACATTAAAACACATACTTCTAGAAGAAATGGCATCAAATAGAATGCTGAAGCTTTAAGTCCTGACAGGACATGACTTCAGGCAAATCAGAAATTCCTTATAAAGGGGGGTAATACTACTTACACTCTCTAAGGTTGCTGTAAAGATGAAGTAAATATGTACCAATATAGAGACCATCACATGCACTTAAGAAAACTCCTTATATGCCCTTTTCAGTGTAATTGTCATTAAACAACAACAATAACAAAATGACTTCTTGTTTTACAGACAGACTTTCTCATGTAGGTGAATTTTCAAAATGCTGCAACTACCAGTTGTTTTTTGATAAAAGGAAGTTATGACAAAAAAGACCATGATACAGCCAAAGCCGCTTTCCCAAAAGACACTACAAATGATGATATGTCAGCAACCCAAGCCGCCTAATGGTAGTGGAAATTCATAATACAAACAGGATTTTCTCCAAATAGTACACTGAAAAACTTCAGACTACACTGGTTCCCTCACAATTGGCTTGCTGGAACTGAGTGATTCTGGTCAGTTGATGCTACGCAGTTACAACTTCCTGACACTCCCCTTGACAGCTGATACCTATGCTCAGACTTCCTGATGCCCGGTTGTGTTTACCCCTATGTTATAAGTCCACTCTTCTGTCCATTCCCTCAAAAAACAAAACAAAACAATCTCCCAAAAAGGGAACAAGCCACCTGCTGGGCATAACTCCATGGAGCATCTACTGGACTTGGGTTCAAGTACACCTGCTAATCTTTCTGCCTGTTGGTTCCTGCCTGCTGAAAATGACAAAAGCAGGTGTCCGCTCCAAGCCCTTTGTGTAAGAAACAATCGGGGATGTTATTTTTATTCCTGTGTTACTTATTACAGACACTAACCTTAACATCCCGAAGACCAGAAACATCACGGGGTGTTTGAGAACAACTACGACTCCGGGCTACAGAAGAGGGTGGAACAGAGTCTTCGCGTTTTCTTTTTCTAGTGACACTTCGAGATCTTCTTGCCTGGGCTGCATAGTGGGCCTGCAAACCATAAAAGGCAAATAACTCTAGAGCTTCAGGGCCCTAGCTTTGTTTCCAGATTAGTGATAAAAACAAAACTACTTCATCAAAGGGAGGACAGTGAGGAATTTTTAGAACCATAATCAAATAAGTGAAAGATGAAAAAATAACTTCCGGTTGACTAATGGTCAAAATTTCTTTATCATTTATATTTCACGCATGAATTCCTTACTATTGTTAACTCTCAATAGCCTCATCTGTAAAACAAGGATGACAGAAGGATTCCAATAGCTAAGTAGGTATTAAGCAAAATACATAAACAATCAAAAATTTGAAGCTATACTAGGGGAAGTAAAAAATATTGCTAAGGATCCAGTTCATACATGGTCAGGTTTCTTTCCGAACAAAAATGAGCTAAAACATGTCTCTGTGATCAGTGGAAGGCTGCAGACAAGTTCTCTCAGTAATACACTTGTCTTAGCCTTATTAAGGCAACTTAAAAAAAATTTTTTTGTGACATGGAAAAAAAGCATTTCTGAGGTTAGCATCTGACTCATCTGCTATTTTGAATTAGGCCAGAGCATGTACAATTTTTTTTTTTTACATAAAGTAACTTGTTCATACTCTTTCCCTAAAAACAACAGATTATAAGCAGCAGAACTGCCAAACTCAGAGGATAGTGTTGTATTAGATTTCTTTACCAAAGGATTCGCTTGATTTGGATTTTAATTAGCAGTTTGTAAACCTACTTTTATGCCTGCATCTTTGCTTGCATGAAGTATTATTTTAATATATATTTTACTTCTGATGTTAATTTTTTGGTATTTCCCAAATGTTCCATTTATAAGGAAATAATAATATACATGTGTAATTAAAAACTAACAAAACATTTTTTCATAGGCAAAGAAAAAACACTCTAGTGTCCCTCCATAATTGGCAATATTAACTAAAATTTAAAATGAAAGCAGCAGATAGGGAAATCTTGCACATGCTTATGGGATCATTTGTCTTGACAATTACAGCTCTGGAATATACAAGGTCTTACACTAAATAGTTTCACAAATTAAGAAATACAACAAGAACTGAGTTTTGAAAATTGCATCCTTTTCTACAGCCATCCCAACAATGTAGGATACACTCATACACAGCAATCCAGAAACACTGCAAGGGAACTAACAGTGTAATGAATCCACTGAAAACATCCAACTTATTTAATGAGCTGCTCATCACGCATTTCAAATCAAGAGTCCATACCAATAAATTTCATTAGATACACTGAAAAACCTAATTCCTTTTCCATGTATTTTTAAAATCAACTTTGCACTCCCAGATTCCTAAAAACACAGCCTTTATTACCAAAACTGTATCCAACTAAATATGTATCTACAGCCATCTCTACACACTTACATTGTCTTTATCATCCATGTCAACACCAAGACTTCTCATCTCATTCTCCAAAACATTCCGTTGAACCTGAAAAGGAAAGAATAACTAGTACTTGTTTTAAGCAAGAGTAGTTTGAATTATGAGAAAAAAATTAAAAGGATAGTATACTTTCATGATACCATTTTTTTTTTTTTTAAAATGAAAGAAATGAGTTATTTTTTACTGGGGCTCATTTTTATGTTTCTGGTAAATTCAAATGGATTCATTAGCCCACATGAAACCTAACATTTACTCAGCAAGTCTATGCCTCAGACACAGGGCACACTCATGTCCTTTATTCTTCACAATCATCACTGTCTCCGCTGTAAGGATGATCACCAAGCTGAGTTGTTCATCAGTGTGCCCCCCCAAAAAAACTGCAGCGTTCCAAACACTTACTGAACATAAGAGAAAAATTTAAATGTCCAAATGTGTAATTAGCCTGTCATTTAGCAGCACATGAAAATGTGGTTGTTGCTGGGTACCCCTGAGCTGATGTGTGCACCACACTATTGATTTGGCTGTAATCATTATAGGAGCAGATTGTTCTTCTCCCATGGAATCACTGGGTGGGTTTGAATAACTAACCTTTCAGTTAGCAGATGAGTACTTAACTATCTGTGTCACCAAGACTCCTTCATATGAAGACCGTATTTTCAGATATATGAATATCCATTGAGAGATTTCTAAAATTTCAAGTTATTTTCTTTCCTTTTTCCTCATATCTTAGCTGCTTAAGCACCTATCCGTTTTCCTCTTTTTGGGGATAACTTCTCTTAACTGACCACTCTAGGTGGTTTAGGACACAGCCCTGGTCACAAGGGTGGGCATATGATCTAAGCCTGAGAGAAAGATGCTCAGACAAATCTTTGGGAGGCAAAGATTTCTTAACTAGGGCATAAAAAGTATCAACTATAAAAGAAAGTTTTAAAATTAGAGCTCATCAAAATAAAAATATTTGATTTTTAAAGGGCAGTGTTTAGAAAATATTAGGAAAGTCATAGACTGGAAAATTTACTTGGAAAAAAGATCTCTGGTATAATCTATAATAAGGAATTTGAAACTACCAAAAATCCACTTTAAGAACTGGCCAAAATATCTGAACATGTTTACCAGAGATACACTGAAGCAAATAAATACATGCAACAATAATGATAATCATTGGTCATTAGAGGATTGCAGGTTAAAGCCACAATTAAAATGACCAACAACTCCCAAGGACATAAATGAACTAAGATCTCTGCTAGTGGAAATTGCTCGTAGAGTGCAAAATGGCAGCGATACTTGGGGAAAATGATTTGGCAGTGTCTTAGAAAGTCATACATACATACACTTATCCTATTTTTTTGCTATTCTTTTTGGGATTTTTCTAAGAAAGAAAAAAACACAATATTTCTATGCAAATGATCCTATCAGATTTAAGAATCAATCTTGCTAGTTATATACCAACAAGGCAAAGTATGTAAAAATGTTAAGCCCATAAATGTAATGAAAAAGTGTGTTTAGCAATAACCACAGAGGAGTCCAGTCTGAAAAGAAACAGGCTGTGTTTCTTTGAGAAAACACAAAAACTTGCCTTCTTAGCAGTCCGAGGCATTCTGGGTCCCTGCGTATTCTTCTCCTTTGATTGCAGAATTTTCAGTTTCTTCTTCTCTCTAATTTGACTGGCTAGCTGTCGGATCTCTGCCATTTCCTCATCTTCACTTTCAGAGTCACTGTCATATTCTCCAGCAGCTGATCTTAGTTCTTCTTCTTTTTCTAACTCTTGCAATTTCTGTGAAAACACAGATATATAAAATTAGAAATGAAAAATTCAAAATAACTGTAGCTATATTTAATTAGGAACTGCATTTCTTCTAAATCGCTGAGGATACAAGGAATAAATACCATGGTCCAGACTCATATTTGAGCCTTACCCCTTGTGCCAGAGAAAATAGAATTTGTGAAGAAAATGAAAACCACATGAATATTACACTGACAGCATATTGTGAATTTTTCTGGATTATTTCTTTTTCTTTTTCAAAAAAACATTAAGGTTTAAACACACAAATATCACCTTCCTCACTGCTCACAGTTCCTAACAGATAGATAACAGGAAATAAACAGCAGATTCTTAAAGAGTTAAACACACACACACATGAGGGGGGTGGGCTTCAAAAGTCTGTAAAAAAAAGAAATGATTATTTTTTCCTCAAACTTGTTAAAGCCCTCCCGTATATCTAATAATTCTGTACTACAATATTCAATTATCTAGTCTAATACAATGTCAGTTCAAATCAATCTGTCCATGCACTTAAAAAAAGAAAGATGATGTACAAATTACATGAAGGGACAAGAATATTTCAGAAGTAGAATAAATAGGAAAAGAGAGTAAAAGCAGGCCTGACAATGTTTATTCCTTGGGCACCTCAGGGTGTGAAGATGTTTTAGAGAAAACAAGTCAGAAATATACATAAATAGGGCACTTGGGAATTGATGAATAGGAGGAAGAAATGTAGACAGCAAACACTTTAGAAAGTACTTTTTCAAACAGTTTGATTTAGAAGATAAAATGAGGGTATCAGCTAAAGGAGAATACAAGGCTAAAGAAATGCTTTGCTTTTTAACTAAGATGGGAAAATGTGTAGACATTCTGTGTTAGAAAAGCAAACACAAGAGAAAGGAACTGAAATGGGAGAGTGACATACTGATGGAGCAAATTTCTGGAGACAAGAAGTGGTCAGATCACAAGGAGGAAAACCTCTTTACCAATCAGCAGAAAAAGGGGAGATGCGAGGTCATGGTCATAACCTATGCATTTTCTCTGTACGGTGAGGTTATCTGATCAGACACACTAGGAGAAGGAAGTCTAGATAGGAGATGTGAGAAGAGGAAAAAGCCATCAGTAGTCACTAACAGAAAGATCTGATGCAGAGTGCTGTGTGGAGATGGAAAAAACTCATTGGCAATGAATCTTAAGAGTTGTATGATTTCCTCCACCAATATTCTAAGCATTAAGGACTGGTATGTTTCAGCGTGTATGCAGATAAAGAACCCTGAGAGTAGATAAAGGTGAACCAAGAGTTGAGCTTGTGTCTTCTAGTAGTCATATAAAAAGGAAACAGAAAACAAAAATCAGAAACCACATAGTATAAAAGGTGTCACTGACCCTCATGATGTCAGGATCAATATAATCAGCTACGTTGTGGCCTTCCCAGATCTCTGGTATCTTATCATACCTTTCAGAGGAATTCAGTAAATCCCAGTACTCTATAATTAAAAGACAAACAAGGTTAATTTTGTATTGTTGCTATTAAGTGCCACGTAGTCAGTTCCGACTCATAGCAAACCTATATAGGGTTTCCAAGGAGCTGCTGATGAGTTTGAACCACCGACCTCATGGTTTTAGTATCTTCAACTATGATATGCCCGCCCCAAGTGAGTATTAAAGTTATGTCAAGTCATACTGCTCTCTAAAGATAACAGATCATCTATACTCAACACTACTGAGGGATATATAGTACGATTAAAGAATCATGCCAAACATTGCCCAAGGTCTTTTAATATCTGAGGGCCAAGGGGCCAGGGAATAAAAACAAACATTAAGGAAAGCAAAAGATATGAATAACAGATAACAGCATCACCCTGCTGCAACAGTTCTATGCTGTGAAAGCTACAAAAATAACCCACACACCCTGAAAGGATAGAAAATTACCTGAAAGGGAAGGAGTCTCAAAGCCTTATCAGTATGCACTGCTCAATCTTTACGAAATTACAAGGGAACACAAAGGCTAGAACACTTTCACTTTTCTGAATCGCTGCACATGCAAACTGGCATATAAGATACTGTGAAACACTGCTCTGTATAACACTTACTTTGAAGATCCAAAATATAATCATCTCCCATTTCCAGCTCAATATCTCGTTCCTGCAATGAGAAAAAAAAAAAAAAAACCAGTATTATTTTATCTTTCAGGTTTAAAAAAGCTATGCACCTTCTTTGCCACTAAGAAATAATCTCTTCCTCCAATTTAACAACCATTCCTTTCAATACCCTGTTTCTAGTCGGAAAGCTGTTTTGTTTCTGTCATGTCACAAACTAAGAATTTTACTTATGTGTTTCACTCATTGTTATTTCCCATCAATTAAAATGCAAGTTCCAAGACAGTAGGGACCTTTCTTAGATATACTGCTGCTATGTTCACAGGTCACAGGCACTCAGTATGTGCTTCCTGACTCTAGGGGTGGTGATGGTGGTGACTGTGTGCCACCAAGTAAGTTCTCACTAACAGCAATCCTATAGAGGGTGTCAGAGGGTGTAAAACTTTATGTGAGCAGAAAGCCTCATCTTTCTCCCATGGAGCAACTGGTAGATTCAAACCACGAACCTTTGTGGTTTATGGTTAGCAGACCAACTCATTACCCATTATGCTACCAGGGCTCCTTTAAGTGACTCCAACCCATCATTAATCTTAATGCTGCTTACAGGCATCTGCCTTTCTCTGCATAATTAAATTAGGCTGACAGTTAATTTAATGTAACCTACCCTTTTCTTTCTAGGCTCCCCAATCTCCATTCTCTTCTTTCGGGCCACTACTCCTGCTGGGATGAAGGGAGGTCTCTCCTAAGAAGGTATTATTGAAAATATGTACATGAAACATTTTGCTGAGTGAGGCAAAAAAAAAACAAAAAAAAAACTTTAAAAGTCAAGAGCAAATTTTCCATCTGTGAGGGATAGAAAAACATACCTAGATGAGTCAAAACACCAACAGATTATTTTGAGATAAGAGGAGTGGAATGCAGGGCAATTTAGGTAAGAATGATAGGAAAAACTCACAAGTAGATTCTAGAGTTCATGAAGGAAAAAAATGAGTATAAAATTATCTAGAGAAAGGTTAAGTGACACAGGAGAAATTAATAGTAGATCAATGGAAAAAAGAAACTTAGATATGAGCCAAAGTATGAGAATTCAGTGGAAAGATGAATGAATAATTCCACAATTAGATCTAAGATAAATGGCTTGTTGTGCGCTGTTGAGTCCGTTCCAATCTACAGTGATCCTGTATAGGGTTTCTTAAGGAGCGGCTGGTGAGCTTGAACCGTCAACCTGTGGTTCAAACCAACACTGCAGTCCAGTGCATTACCCCACTAGCTATTCATAAATAGTGGACTCCTGGTGTGGCGCTGCTGGATCAGCACTGGACTGCAAATGACGAAGTTGGCAGTTCAAACTCACCAGCCATTCCGAGGAAACAGGGTCGCAATAAGTTGGAACAGACTCAACGACACTTAACAACAACATTCAGAAACAGAGATGGGTAACTACTTCTACCCCTCTCCTTATGAAAAAATAAATTAAGACACAGAAAGGACTTCTATTTAAGAGTAAGATAAAAATTAAATCAGGAAAGTACATGGGATAAAAAAGAAAAAGACACTTTTAGAAAAAGAATTATTTCTGGAATGAATGGTAGGTCTCCCTATGCATGACAAAATAATTCAGCAACCACAGAGATATTGATGAATGTTAACCATTCAAAAATGTATAATTTCTTTAAAGTAAAAATAAAGATCCCCCAAACCAAAAGCCAAGTGGCTAAAAATGAAAAATTTCACAGTATATAACAACAGACAAGTCAAATCAATGAATAAAAGATTAACAACCTAAGGAACAAAAACAGTTTTAATAAGCATAAGCAAAAGTGTGGACACATACCAACAGCAACAAAGCCATCTTAAACCATTCTATAGTATTAGAACGACAGATGTCAATCCCCAGTGTTGTAGGTGATAGAGGGAAACACATTCTCAAACTACTGCTACTGTTGGAAGTCCATCAACTCTATTCCAACTCATGTTAAGTGCCATGGAGTTGGTTCTGACTCATTGTGAGCCTGTACAGGGTTTCTGAGGCTGTAAATCTTTACGGGAGCAGAAAGCTCATCTTTCTCCCGTGGAACACCTGGTAGTTTCGAACTGCTGACCTTGCATAACCAGTACACTACCAGAGCTCCTTATAGCCCAATTCGTAACCAGTACACTACCAGAGCTCCTTATAGTGACCCTGTAAAGGTTTCCGAAGAGTGGCTGGTGGGTTTGAACTGTCAACGTTGCAGGTGAAATAAATCTTGCAGTCCAGACATTTTTTTTTTTTTTTTATGTTTTATTGTGAATTATATGATAGTTTACACAAGAGAACTTTAGTTTTACATTCATTCCATCATATATCATTTCATTGCCATGGTTCCAATCCCCTCCATGCATCATTAACCGACCAAAGGGTATATCCTAGAAACCCGCCCCCTACACTTCCCCCTCCCCCCCCAGTTTTCGGCCCACAGTCCCTTTCCCTCTCTGGATCCAAAGTCCCCAGC